ATTTTAACCTATTATTTGCTCTCTTTTACTTACGTTTTGGGCCTAAAATGCGTGAAGGTATTCCCGGAAACTAATGTAATATGCTTGCTTGCAGGGATTGTTCAAAATGAGCCAAATGAGGCATAATCAACTCATAAAGGAGTCAAAACTGGAACAAAAAACCAAGACTGGGCCAATAAATCTAAAACACGGACCGCACAAATATTGTGCGGCCGCAGAATCCACAACGTGTCCGCGATCCCAAATACGCAGTCCGCAAAAGGGAGATTCAGAGAGTGCATTTTTAGGCCAAATGTTAAGCGAGGTCCGCGCCAGAAATGTGCGGCCGCGAAAGTCTCACCGCGGCCGCGATGGAAATTATGCAAACCGCGGTGCATGAAGTTCAGAGAGCTCACAACTTGAGCAAAAGAAGGAAGTTCGGTCTGCGTCAGAATTAAGCGGCCGCGATGGAAATTACGCGGCCCGCGAGCTCAACCCAGATCCAGAAGTTAAAAACGCAGACCGCGGTCAGAATTACGCGGCCGCAAAACCTCTGCAGGGGTATTTTTGTTCAGAACTTTTAGCTTAGTATAAATAGATCTTTTTAAAATTTTTAGGTCAAGTTATGTTTTAGCTGAGCACGTGAGATGGCTGGAAATTTCTTTTTGGGCAATTTTGTTCTAGAATTATCTCTCAACATTAGATTTTCATCTTTTAATCTAGTATTATGAATTTTATCTTTATTTTATCTTTGATTTCTGTTATTTCCATGAGTAGCTAAACCCATATCTAGGGTTGTGACCCAACCTAGTGTGGGTATTTGATGAATCTTGAATTTTAGGGCTTGAATATGTATGAGTTAGTAGTATTTAGCCTAGTTCTTGCTAGAACTATGGAATTAGTGGTTGCAAACACTGATTCATGCCTTTATGACTTAGTCTCTACTTGAGAAAGAGGGACTAAGTCTAGGAAAACTAGGCTAACAAAGAATTGGGGTGAACTCAAGAAATTGATAGCTCCAATTGAAGGGTTGAACCTAGAGATAGTAATACCCGACTTGAGCTAATATCAGTTATATTGCATGAATACCCATTTGGACTTGAGAAAGCCAAATTGGGCAAAATCACTCAAACTACCGAGAGGTATAGAGTGAGTACCCGGGTGTGATAGCTATATTACGACCCCAATTAATCACATGATTGACCTAGATTCTTGCTACCCGTTAGATATCCACCTAGGTAGAAGTCACTACTCTAGTCCCTTTAAAACTTTGAAAATCAACAACAAAAATATTATACTTAGTTTCAAATATTGCATGCTATAGAATAGCATTAGAAGTAGAATCAAACCAAACATGTGTGGAAGTTTAATTAAGAGCAAAACCCGCATCTAGACTTAGAAAAATCTAATTCCAAACAAATTAACTCCCTGTGAATTCGATCCCGACCTAGTTGGGTAAAACTGCATCGACCATCCTCGCTACTCAATAGTAGTGCAGGCTTGGACCCCATCAGCTGCTCCAACTGCTGATCACAGTGATGCTGTTGAGTCTGATCAGGATGAGGTTGTGGATGTTATAAAGTGTTGCTGAGCCCTCTGCAGACATGCAAAACTCAAATACTGATGAATTGCACTTAGAGGCCTCTCACTCAGATGAAACACTTTTGCAGTTCACAGTGACAGATTTAAGAGGTTTGCAGTTAAAAGTGGACTTGTCACACTTCTTCAATGACCAGGTTGAAGCACCTTCAGCAGAAGCGGAAAACGTAGTTCATGCTAAACCTGAGATCACTGATCAAGGCCATTAAATGGTCACCTGATTCAAAGATAAGTCTCTTCCTATAACTCATACCTTACTAGTTGCTGTACAAACAAAACTAGAAGAACCTAAAACTATAAAAGAAGCTTTTAGTTTCCCTCACTGGTTTAAAACTATGCAAGAAGAATTAGCAGCTTTACATCAAAAGGAAACTTGGATACTAGTTCCTAGAATTTTCACAATGAATGTATTAGGATATAAGTGGCTGTTTAAAACAAAAATGAAGCCAGGTGGATCAATAGAAAGACACAAAGCAAGGCTAGTTGCTAAATGGTACTCACAACTTGAAGGGATTGACTTTGAAGAAATCTTCAGTCTAGTAGTTAAAGCTACAACAATAGGAGTTATTCTCTCTGTTGCTGTCACTTTACATTAGTCCATTAGGCAACTAAATGTTAAGAATGCCTTTCTTCTTGGCCATCTACAAGAAGAAGTTTATATGACTCAACCACCAGGCTTCACTGATCCAGTGTATCCTGATCATGTATGTCTCTTGAAAAAGGCACTATATGGTCTCAAACAAGCTCCCGGAGCTTGGTTTGAGAGATTTAGTCTATTCCTGCTTCATCTTGGTTTCAAATGCAGTTGAGCTGATTCCTCCCTATTTACTCTCCATGATGCAGAAGGAACAATATTACTTCTGTTATATATAGATGATATAATTGTAACAGGAAGCAACTCAAGGCAAATAGGGGAAGTAGTGCAAAAGCTGGGGCATGAATTTGCTATGAAGGATCTTGGACCCTTGAGTTACTTTTTAGGTATTGAAGTAAGCTATTTTCTTGGAGGAATCCATTCGAACCAAAGCAAATATGCAAATGATCTTCTTAGAAAAGTGGATATGGAAAATGTAAAAATAGTGCATACTCCACTAGCTCAGAGGCATGGTCTACAAGAAGCAGTCGACAAAGTAGTTGATCCCTCAGCTTACAGAAGCATTGTAGGAAGCTTGCAGTACCTCACACTCACAAGACCAGACATTACTCATGCTGTTAATCTTGCAAGTCAATTCATGCAGAATCCAAACAGCATGCATCTTCAGGCAGTAAAGAGAATATTGAGGCATGTCAAAGGAACCATCGATCATGGATTGAGAGTCATATCACAGTCTTCCTTCAGGCTGTATGGATTCTCAGATGCAGACTGGGTAGGATGTACCATTACAAGGAGGTCTACTACTGGATATAGTATATACCTTGGTGCAAATTGTGTTTCCTAGTCATCAAGGAAGCAAAATACTGTTGCAAGGTCAAGTGCTGAAGCTGAGTATAGAGCATTGGCAACAACTGCAGCTGAGCTTACCTGGATAAGCTACATTCTACAAGACATTGGAATGTATGTCAAGATTGCTCCTGTCTTATTTTGTGACAACTTGAGTGCTCTATACATGACTACAAATCCAGTAATGCATGCTAGAACTAAGCATGTAGAACTAGATTACCACTTTATCAGAGAGAAGGTAGCTCAAGGACGATTGATTACTCAGTTTGTTAGGTCCAAGGACCAACTAGCAGATGTTCATACAAAGCCTCTTTGCAAAGACCGGTTCCAATTTTTTCGAGACAAGCTAGGTGTAGTGAAGTCACCTCCCACTAGCTTGAGGGGAAGTGTTGAAGATAATGATCAGGCTAACAAACCTAATAACTATGCAATCACTTAGTCCTAGTTTAGAAGAATTAGGACTCTTTGTATTAGCTATCCTAGAAGAGTCCTACTCTATGTAGTATAGCCAAAATATAAGATGAAAATACTGTATAAATACATAGAACTCATGTAACTGAAGATACATCAATCTACTGCCTTCTTGACATTGTCTCTGCACCATAATTTTCACAACTAGATTTTCTGTTTACTCTAACACTATGTTAATTTTTTTAATCATATCATATAAAAGTTTAAATTGGAAGACACACACTTTCTATTGAAAGTGCTTCCTGAAACTTGTTTACTTGTGGCATTAGTTTCTTTACCTAGTTACAATGCTTGTTCAAGAGTCCAGCTTCATGAAATTTAATACTCCTATTAGGTAATTGGAGATCATTTTGATTTTAATTGATCGTCTTCTTAAAAAGGAATGTTCCTTTCAACGGTAGAAAATTTATATTATTAGGTATGTGTTCACGTGAACTCAGTATTTTTATCCAAATTTTGTATTTGTATTAAACAATTCATTAAACATATAAAAATTGCTCGGAACCAAATATATTATTAATTTAAGATCGTTGTATTAAACTTCAAAATTGGATTCTTCTCTACGCCTACTCATGTAAGGGTCTTTTAATTAAGAAATTTCAATGTAATAAATTGCAGATTAGCATCACCAGTCTATAAATGTATATGATCTACTGCACTCAACACAACCTAATATAGGTAACGAGTTAAAAGAATCCTATTCCTACAGTTGACAACTGCTTTTACACAAAGAAAAATGTATTTATCACGTGCATCTGGTCATTTTCTCTTAAAGCAAATCCAGCTAGGTTTGCCTTTTTTTCTTTTTAAAAATTTTTTCTCCTTTTTTTGTCCCTTTATGTTTCTCCTTTGAATAGGTCTAGCCAGAACTTTTAGCAAGCGATGTCACAATTAATTGATGGTCGACGACCCAAAGGAGTTCGGGAAGATGATGAGATTGAGAAGCAGAGTAAGTAGTAGCAAGCCAGCACAAATGCTTATATCAAATTCAAGAAGGAGTTATTATGAATTAAGCGTTTAAAAGGTGTTAAATTATTATTGCATTTATATTGTAAATCACCCTTTGTCTCATTGGTGTGTACTCTTAATTGTGTGGCAGAGGTCTGAGGTTCGAATCCCCAAAAACTTACAGCCTTTTTTTAGGGAAGCAAGCTCAGAAAAACAGAAAGTCGCATATGCAGGGAATCGAACACCGGACCTTTACTATGTTAATCAAGGGCCTAACCATTGAACTAGCACCTGAATGTTGTCAAATGGTGTCACTTCAGATAATATGTAAGAATTTACTGTTCGCATGTCATTTACAGCAGCATTTTTAATCAAATTTCCGACGAAGCGGTGTCACGTGACACCGCTTCGATGTACGTGCGTCCGCCCCTGGGTCTAGCACATGATGCTCGACAAAGATCGATCGCCCTAGATAGACAACTACATAGAGGGTCTCTACTAGTCTATATATTCTTTGATTTCGTTCCAAAAGCCCGTAAAAAAAAGAGTTGAGAATCAGAAGTATCTCTTGGAAACGGAACTACAATATTATTCAATGAACTTATTGATCTTATTACAGAGAACCTTGATATAAGCCAACATGAAGTCAAAACTCAAAAGCACATAAACATGTACGGCTTGGTACGTAAATAAATATAATACTTTCAAAACATATATAGTTCGAAAACTTCACGAGATATACAACTAACGTGAAGTCAATGGGAAAAAAACACAAAACAAAAGGACATATTCTCCTTTTGTGGCTTTAACTTCTCTTCTTCTTTAAAACACTCCATTTATTCGCTCGTGAGGCTTTTCCTTCTGCTTCCTCTTTTCCCTGCATGGATCAAATTGTCCATAAATGAGGTAAAATATACGAAGGTTTTCATTAATCAAATATTCTATATATTCAATGTGCTTAGTAGCATAGACAAAGACTGCAAAATATAACAGATATATTACCTTGATCTAGAGTGTAAAACGCATTTCCTAGTAGTGAGGAGGAGGTGGAGATGTGTAATAATAGTGGTAAGGGGGTGGTGGAGACTTGTAAACTGGGGGTGGTGGAGATTTATAAACTGGTGGAGGAGGCGGTGGTGATTTATACTTGTAAACGGGTGGTGGTGGAGATTTGTAGAACGGAGGAGGTGGTGGTGGTGATTTGTATTTGTAAACTGGTGGTGGTGGAGATTTGTAGACTGGAGGTGGTGGTGGTGGTGACTTGTATTTGTAAACCGGAGGTGGTGGTGGAGGAGACTTATACTTGTAAATGGGTGGTGGTGGAGATTTGTGGACTGGAGGCGGTGGTGGTGGAGACTTGTACTTATAAACGGGTGGTGGTGGGGATTTGTAAACTGGTGGAGGTGGTGGTGGAGACTTGTACTTGTAAACGGGTGGTGGTGAGGACTTGTGCTTGTAAACAGGTGGCGGTGGGGATTTATAGACTGGTGGAGGTGGTGGTGGAGACTTGTACTTGTAAACGGGTGGTGGTGGGGACTTGTACTTGTAAACAGGTGGCGGTGGGGATTTATAGACTGGTGGAGGTGGTGGTGGAGACTTGTACTTGTAAACTGGTGGTGGTGGGGACTTATACTTGTAAACAGATGGCGGTGGGGATTTATAGACTAGTGGAGGTGGTGGTGGAGACTTGTACTTGTAAACAGGTGGTGGTGGGGACTTGTATACGGGTGGTGGTGGGGATTTATAAATTGGTGGAGGTGGTGGTGGAGACTTGTACTTGTAAACGGGGGGTGGTGGGGATTTATAAACTGGTGGAGGTGGTGGTGGAGACTTGTACTTGTAAATGGGTGGTGGTGGGGACTTGTACTTGTAAACAGGTGGTGGTGGGGATTTATAGACTGGTGGTGGTGGTGGTGGGGACTTGTATTTGTAAACGGGTGGTGGGGGTGACTTATAAACGGGTGGTGGTGGTGATTTATACACCGGAGGAGGAGGTGGTGGTGACTTATACTTGTAAACCGAAGGAGGTGGTGGAGGAGACTTGTATTTGTAAACAGGTGATGGTGGGGATTTATATACCGGAGGAGGTGGTGGCGGGGATTTATACTTATAAACTGGAGGTGGTGGTGATGAGTACACGTACTTTTTAGTTGGTGGAGGAGGAGAACTATAGTAGTAATTTGCTTTGCATTCTAAAGGAAAGCTAAGGGACAGTAAAGCCACTACAAGAGTGGCGAGAAGAGAGACTATTTTAGCCATATTCGGTGTGCCAATGAATCCTCCCCAAAGCCTCCTTTTATAGCTCAACGTAAGGCTTCAACTCATCGTTTATAATCACAAACATATTAACTAAAATTAATTGTGTTTATTATTTAAATATAGTAGTTTGAACTGGCACTCTTATATCAACTAGTAAAATTAATAAAACTGGACCTAGACTTGGGAGGATATTTTATTAGGCAGAAAAATATAGGAAAACAAAAAAGAAAGCATTCATTAATTTTTGTCATCACAAGTGTGCTTGGAAGACTTTGAAAGTTTTGTGTGAATGCTTAATTTGCCACTTTGTTTCTTTCAAAATAATGAAAAGCAAATGAATCTAATGATGAGAGACCTCGCAATTACATGACTACAATTTTCTTGTTAGCCTATCAACTTCATTTTCGTTAAATCTCTTTTACGTGCATGTAATATAATTTCGAATGTCATTTTCAACAATAGTTCTTTGGACCAATATACGACATGACTCTTCCGCTCGTGGATGACTTTTCGTTACTTCCGTAATTATTAGTCCACTGGAAAATAAATAAATAAATAAATAAACTAAACAAAATTTTATCACTGAAAAAAGGCAGATAGATTAAAAAAAAGTAGAGAGCTTATGAGACTCTTTAGTAGGACGTGTTGTTACACTGTTTTTTATTTATTTATTTTTACCGAGTGTCCAATACCTGCCTTAGGACTAGATTAATCTGGGTTCACTTCGAAAATTTTTATTTTGGGGTAAGGCTTTCTAACACATATCCAAAATTTCAATCCAACACCTCTAATTAAGGATAAAGGAATAATACTCTACCACAGCCTTGTGCGTTGTTACATTGTTATAACCGTAACGTTTCACACTATTATAAATTAATAAGATGATCATTATTAAAATAATGCTACATATATACCTTTTTGCACAAATTCGTTTATCTTTGCCTTTTATCTTTCATTACTATGAATAAGAAAGCTGTTTTGTGAAATCACATGTTAATCTGATTGAATTTTTCTTAAGACGAGTTATATAAATAGGAATTCTATACAAGGACAAACCCAATTCACAATTCACATGTGGAAATGTGAAACAACTTTGCTTCTTGCCTTCTTCCCTGATAAAAAAATTCCAACGTCCCGAGTGGCATAGACCTAATCCGAAACAAAAAGAAAAAGAAAAATTCATCTGATTATGTCCTTAGATCGGGTAAACCTTTGAAATTACCAAATACCTAATTAAGTTTGAAATCTTAAATTTGGGCAATATTATATGATGTTAACCTTAGAAACGTAGTACATTTATTATACGGCATTAAATTTTGCCGATCGAAGAATATCTTCAGTCAAAATGCGTCCTACCTCGAGGTAGAATAATACATTAGCAACTCTTTAAAGTCTCAAAATTGTTGGATTTAGAATAGTCTTAACCTACCTTATCAGCTAGCTCAATATATAGTCTCAATACTTTTGGATGTGATTGTTTGAAAATTTCGAAAGCACTATAAGTGCAGAAATTAAAATAAGGAACTTTGTCCACATATATTGAAGATAATTTTCTAGGTATTTTTATACTTACTATCATTTTGTGGAGGGCCAACTAATATTTATTTATCTAATGTTAATTTAAGCAGAAAGATGAGTTCGTTTAGAAGAAGCCTCCTCGCTTTCATATAGTTGATACTAATTTATTCGAAATTCAATTTCAAATTCGGACAAAATTAAGTTATGCAATTAATTACGAAGTTAGCTTTTTATATACTTATCCTTTTAAAATTTTGAAAAATGACCGAACAAATATTATCTCTTGGCTTAAAGATATGTCAGTCACGAAAACATAATACGTAGTAATATATACAACGGCAGGAAATACAACAGCAAAATGTGACTAGAGCGTTATAAAAAATTTAACCCTAGTGGATAAGAAGTACCATTGTCCTTATTATTGTACTCTTTGTGACATTGCTACAAACTTAGTATAATAGGTATATTTGTATAGAGTTGTAGGAAGAAGATATTGGGTATGTTTCACCCACTAATGAATTGACTACATCAACGTGTGAATTCCATGCAAAATTATATATTCTTGAGAGTTGAAATTGTTGTGGCCTAGAGTTGCGTAAGACATTAAGCTATCACACACAGTAATAATTTACTATTTTGTACCTATTTTACCCTTATTATTAATTACTACTAATTATTTTCAGTTCATTATTATGAGTGATATATAAAAATTCATTTTATTAATTGCTTTCTACGCTGTATTAGTCAAACATGGAATAGATGGAGGGAATATAAAATTGAGAGAAAAAAATGGAAAAAGGAAAATTCAAGAAAATTAATCACCAAAACCCTATATTTTTCCACCTCCCAAGAAAAAAAGAAAGGAAAAGGGCACCTCGAGTTTCTCTCCTATAGAGGCGAAGTCAGGATTTAAATTTAATGGCTTTATTTTTAAGATTTTCAGCTTTGAATTCAATATACGGTTAAAATTAAGAGTTCAGATTTAATATTTGTTGAGATGTAGTAATTTTTCTAAAAATAAATTTATAATTCGTGTCGAAATATAGGTTCGATTGAACTCGTAACCTAAAGGCAACATTCATACCTGCTCTCCTATACGGCTGATTGATCGAGACATAGGATAAAAGAAACAATTTGAAAATTTCAGGTTAATTCTAAGCTAAACTACAATAATCCGTAAGATCTCATCAACTTTAATTTTAGTGAATAGAGTTACTCGATACATATACTTATAAGGCGGAGCAACATATTAGTCGAGATATATACATGTGAATGATTCAATCACGACAATTATAAATTCAAAAAAGAAAAGGGAAAAAAGAAGAAGCTAATAAGTACAGCAAAGCAGAGGAATCCCGCGTTATATAGTCAAGTGGCTGAGCTTAGAATCTATGATGTAACGTAGCTTTTGGATCTTTCTAAAAGGATGCCATTATTACTGCAATTTGGGCTATTGACTTTACAAATCTTTATAACTCTTCTTCTTTTTTTCTATCTTTTGTTTTGTATGATTGTATAGAAGAGTCGAAATCTCACCTACTTTTTTGCATGTTATTGACGTCTACTTCTACGCGTTTATCCACTTGGAAAGCACGTTCCTTAACAAGCAACAAAGATTCTGCTGCCTTTATTTACACTAGTACGTCCCTCTTCTTTTTCTAATTATTGCTTATTTTATCATGTTAATTATATAATTACTACTTGGCTTCATCCTAAATTAATTAATATTTTCTGATTTAATAATTTGAAATTAATATATATATATATATATATATATATATATATATATATATATATATATATATATATATATATATATATATATATATAAAATTGGTATTGCACCGAATAGGTTCACCGACAAATTGTCCTAACATTTTCATTTCCTTTTTATCAGTGCTTGAAACAATACAATCACTGATTAGTCTACATTTCTGAGGAGGAAATAGATCTCCATTAGTAACTCCGCAACTTGTTCCAATTTCTTGTTTTTCCTTCGGGTAGAAAAGATCCACAAATAATAAGGATATAAAAGGTTTAAAAAAAGAAAGAACTTGTGGTAGGATTGAAATCGCATACTTAAAAAGAACTGCAGTTATAACTATTACCCACAACTCTAATAATCTCGTCGCGAAAAAGCTATTAATTTACTTGCGTACCATAAATCAATACTACAAATTTATATAAAAATAGGCGACTTGACTTATAAAAAGAACAGTAGTAGTTCTTCGTTCAGTTCTTTGACTAATAGCTAAAAGCTTTGGAACTTGTCTCATTATGTGCCGTTCTTTTGAAATGTGTCATGTCCAATTCATTAAAAGCTTATATTATGTTATATGTCTTTTTACGTGTGGGTTTAATTTTTTTGAGATTTTTATATATTTATATTAATTTTGAAACTTATTTACCTTCACTATTGAAGTTTTAACTTAATTACAAGTATACAAATTACTAATTTTATACAAAATAATGTATTAGACTCTAATCTTCTATAATTCTCTCCCTCTTCCACCTCAAAACTAAAATTATAAATTAACATATGAATGTTTGGCCTCTTTCTCCTCAACTTCAACCATACCTTTACGAGAACAAAAAGATTTGGCATCAAACAACTCTATTATATTTTCTCTTTCTTTTTATTTTTATTTTTTTCTATATTAAAAACGAATTATCACTTTTAAACGAGAGAAGATCGTTAATTTCTTTTAGCTTTTTGGAATCTATAAATAAAATAATATTAATCAAAAGCGAGTAGATTGAATTGGAAATAATGATAATCCATTAGAAAGCTTAGAAGCTTTGAATTCAAAAATCAAAATTTGCAATATTATTTTTTGTTTGGATTAGGTATTGTTGCAAATAATTGGGAATATCTTTTAGAGTTTATATCTCAATTTTGAGACAATTTGGTGAAGAGTCGAAGTGGTTTTGGTTGATATTTCAGATTGAAACTCGAAAAAGAAGAAATAAATAAATTGTATATATTTTATTTGTCGAGTGTAGAAACGGTATACAAAATATCTACAACTTATATAATTGTATATAAACTATATATAAATTGTATGTAAATTATAGTTTTTGTTCGGATTCTGTACCAAATGTATATTTAAATTGTAGATATATTTTATATTTTGACCACATTTGTATATATTTATAAATAAACTTTAGTTACTTTATGTATATATTAAAACTTAGACAACAGCAACAACAACCCAGTAAATTCCACGAATGGGGTCTGGGGAGGATAGTGTGTACGCAGACCTTACCCCTACCCCGCAAGAGTAGGAGGCTATATGAAAACTTAGAAAAAGCCGCATAATCTTGTATATATACGAAAAAGTCCAAATTTTTTTCTTCATGATTTAAGTACTGTCACGACCCAAAAACCACTAGTCGTGATGACACCTAACTCGACCCGCTAGGTAAGCCAACTAACTGTCAATGCAATCCAAACGAAATTTATAGGAAAAGCAGTGAAGAATTATCGAACATATATATATATATATATATATATATATATATATATA